TATATATATATATATATATTATTTTTTTTTTTTTTTTTTTTCAGGGGGGGTTTGGGAATTCGATAGTTGGAGTGCCAAACTAACCTTAGGAAAAAAAAAAACAATTATTACACATTTGGTTTTGAGCGGCATTTCTATCCAAAATCACTAAAAAGCTCACCCAGGGGCATTAATGTAAAAGAAAACAATAAGTGTGTATCGGGCGTTAACAACATTGGGTTGGGGTCCTACGTGTAGAAAGTTTTAATGCAAGGGGCTTTATATGCAATTTTTCCTTTAATATATTTTAAGAAAATTGATTTGGACCTCCATAATATGCAAACTCATCAACCTGCATTTGAATGCGAGATTTGAAGCATCTTAGGTACATCAAATATTATTTAGAGGACACTGATTTGGAGTTGATTTACAGCTTGCTGTTGCTTCTTCTTCTTCTTTTTATTTTTTTGGTCTTCAAGAAACTCAATTGCATGGTTTTCCACCAAATTTTCTTTCCAACCATTGTTGAATTTGAATGACTTCAAGCAAAGGGCATCTTCATGTGTTTGAGTATTTGTTAATTGCCTTTTCATACTGATTAAGGCCTAAGAGTAACTTCGTTAAATAGAATGGGGAGTAGTTGAATTAAAGAGTGTTTGGAAATTGTTCACAACCGTCTTAAGCATCCCCCATAAATTCTTGATCTCAATACTTCAAGATTGTCTCCTCTTCATAAAGACTAAAAAGAATTGGATTGTCGCTTCTTCATAAAGATAAAATGAATTATTAGAACTTAGGACGAGCCAGCCTTTACTTTATATAACACGCACCACTTACCAAAATTATTGGAAGCTCCCAATCGATTTATACCTATGTGAAATATTATCTCATTGATTTCAGGGTTATTATTTTGGAGCCTTTCTTAATAATGATATTATTGCTTTTCATCTTTACGATGGGATCAGGCTAGAGAAATTGATGACTTATTTCATGACGGGTGTAGCAGCATAAGGCCATGCTTTCTGACAGAAAATAAAGCACTACCTCAAAATCGTGTCTCTGAAAATGCAATTACAGCACTGGAAAACCCTTATGATGGCAAAAATTTATTTGAAACCCTCATTATGCAATATGAATTTCAAAAATGGTGCAGATCTTGTGGATTTGTGAAACCTTGAAAATAGAAGATGTACTATTCTCTAGGGCTTGATTTTTATTTTTGTGGTTCATAAATATTGGGGTTGAAATCATAAGTTTGAAGGACTTTTTTTTGTCCCCGCATGGAACAACTTTTGTGGAGAGAATGGAGCCTCATTCTCTATGCATTGATTAAGGTGCTTTTTTTTTTTGGGAACCCAAAATATATTACGGCAATTTACCATGTAGATCTTATATCAGTTCCATGAATAAGGTGCTAGTTTGCGCGCTCACATTTTTATTATCGAGAAAGTATACAAGAAGACAATTTATCATTGGTGAAACAATGCATGGTTACCTTTAGCCGTTATATGAAATTGGATGACCGAGTTTGTACTAATCATTTTGCACTTGGAATATACAAAAAGTTCTCCTCAGAATGTACATCGAGCCGCCCAATTTTACATCTGTGAGTGAGACTCGGGTGTTTGTAACCTTTATGTATCAAATGTACCCATCTTATTGCATGCAATGCCTTTAATAATTTATCCAACCATCCTGAATATGGGTGACTTGATTAAACCCATAGTTGCCCATCATTTTGCTGGATTTTGTAAGGGGAAATTTTTAGATACTCCCCTCGACTCAACTTTCGAGGCATTGTTTTCCAAATACTTTTAAGAAAAAAGTTTATATAATGTTGCAATCTTATTTGTAGAAATAAGGTTACAGTAATCTACATCGTTTATTTTATTCAGACGGTTTGATTATTATGTTAAAAGGTGTAGCATGTATTGATATTATCATAAAAAACGTGTCAAATTCATACCGTCCAAATAAAATGGATGGTTTGTATAATATTGAAATCTTATTTCTACAAATAAGGTTGCAACCTTATACAAACCACACCCATTTTTTAAACAACATACTCAAATCCCAAAACTAATTTTTTTGCGTCCATCCACAAGAAGAAAAGTAACTTTTTTTTTAATGAGAATACACCTTTTGAAAAACACATTTCCCTTCTTTTTTTTTTTTCTTTCTTTCTATTGAAGCCGGTTAGGCACACATTGTGTTTGACAGACTTCATTATAAGCAATGAAGTTGGTCCGGCACAAAGTGTGCCAGACCGGCTTTAATATGGACTTAGAGCATGTCCAACACACGTTATGCCAAACCAGCTTTAACAGGGAAAGAAAATAAAATATAGAGAAAATTGCATCTTGAAATGCTTATTTTTTACCAAAAAAATAAGTTTTTACTTTGAGGTGAATGAAAAAAAAAAAATGTAGAATTTATGATGTGATATCGGAGGGAAAAATGCCTCAAAAGCTTAGTTTATTTTTTATTTTCTTAAATTTTCCATTTTCATAATTATAACTTGATTTTAGTTTTCATAGGTTGTTAATCTTGACCACCACACCCACAATAATAACTTGAATTTAAAATTTCATAGGTAGTTAATCTCGACCACCACAATCCTAACTTGAATTTTAAATTTCATTCATTGTTATAATTTCATAGGTTGTTAATCTCGGCCGCTACAATATATATTTCTTTCACACTCCCCCTTAAACCTTTTTTTTTTCATATTCATACATCTCAATGTCGAGATGATCGATTAGATGGTTTTCTCAACATTAAAAACATATTTCCGATAGATTTTTTAGGTGCATATGTGATTCTACATTTTAAAGTTGTAACCTTACATAAACTTTTCCCTTTGGTTTTTAGTTGAGCACGCTTCTTAATTGGGGAGCCAAACGTTAAACAAAATAATATTGGGGTTTAGTGAGTGATCTAAAGAGTAGTCGTGCGGAAGTTGTTTAAGAAGTTAGAGGGGCACATTAATTTTTTAATAAGTTTATTACATTTATGAAACGCTCAGCCCGATTTTTAGGGTTCTGGCCTCGTATGCAGGATTTTTGGTCACCCCGAAGATCTAATTTTTCGTGCTCAGGCCTAGCTGGGCCTACCTTACCTGACTGGACTCAGCCCGTTAATAGTCGTATGTGTGCAACAGAGCGAAAAGAGAGAGAAGAGAGGAGGGGGGAAGAGAAATTTCAAGTTAATACATTGACACCATCCTATTAATACATTCAAAGAGCTAATCCCTAATCTACTTGAAGAAACAGGAAGGGGCTTGTCTTCCCCACGGAATTACATATATATAAATGCTTTTGAAAAGTAAGAGTTAATTAGACCCCCCAAAATTGGTATACATATAAATCTCATCCAATTGATAAAAAAGAAAAAAAATATAGCTATTCAACATAAAAAAAAGAAAATTGCAGAACAAAAAATAGGCAAAAGTAGCCTGTCTCTTTACGGAGGCAATTAGCGATCGACAAATTGAACTGGACCCGAAAACCGTCCATGGGCCAGGTCTGAGTAACTCGGGCAAGGGCAAGTCCCGCGCATGCCAAAAAGTGTTAGGAAAAAATGGATTTTAAAAAATCGATTTGTGCCTAAGGGTATTATTAGAAATAGCTAAAAATATATATATATATATAAATAAATATTTATGGTCAAAAGACTCAAAACACAATCCAATATTTGCCAAAATGATAAAAAAGCACTAAAAAAGACTCATTACAAACTGATCGCTCTTTATATATATATATATATATATATATATATATATAGTGTGTGGTTTCCATAAGGTTGCAACCTTAAACAATCCATTTAAGGCACGCCTTCGAATTTTATCACAACATATAATTTTGATATAAAAATATTTTTAAGATTATCTTAAGATCTATTTTCATATCTAATTATAAAATTTTAAACTCCAAAAATGATTAAAATCAAGTAGATCTATAAATATATGAAAATCTTTAAAATGGACGATCTAGATAATGTGTTGT